ACACTAGCACTATCAAGACTTGCTGGGCATCTGAGAGTAGCAGGTTCAAGAGAAAAAAGACAAAAAGACCAAAAAAAAAAAAGGCAAGCTATCCCTTAGATCCTTTGCAGGGGAAAGAAAAAAAAAATCAACAAATAAGCAATTGTAAGAAATTATATTGCTGTATACAGAAAGATATTGGGAGAAAACATGGGTAACCTGTGCACCTCTTTTCATAGAATCATAGAACGTCAGGGGTTGGAAGGGACCTCTAGAGATCATCTAGTCCAATCCTCTGCCAGAGCAGGATCCCCTCGGGCAGCCACACAGGAACGTGTCCAGGCGGGTTTTGAAAGTCTCCAGAGAAGGAGACTCCACAACCTCTCTGGGCAGCCTGTGCCAGGGCTCTGTCACCCTCACAGCAAAGAAGTTTCTCCTCGTGTTGAGGTGGAACTTCCTATGTTCTAACTTAAACCCATTATTTCTTGTTCTATTGCTGGGCACCACTGAGAAGAGATTGTCTCCTTCCGCTTGACACCCACCCCATGTATTTATACACCATCCATCCCGTATATCAATATACGTTAATAAGATCCCCTCTCAGCTGTCTCCTTCAAAGGCTAAACAGCCCCATTCTCTCAGTCTCTCTTCATAGGAGATGTTCAAGTCCCTTAATCATCCTCATAGCTCTCACAGTTCTGCCTGGATGTGGAACAACAGGGTTTTTTGAGTGGTTGGGAGGGTAGAGGGGAAAGCAAAGGATGAAGAGCAGGAGCCTGGAGATACAGGCATAGATTCATAATGTAAACAGACAACTAAACAAATTAGGTCTCCGTTAATTTTCAGGAACCCACGATCAGTATTCATTAGAGCCATCACAAACTAATGCCTCCTACTCGCACTGTGATACTTTTGATTCACGTTTGTGAAGCCAGGCACAATCATCCAACAGAGGACTCGGGGATACAAGGAGCTACTGGCAACCCTAAATCACTGAAGACAGCGATTCAGGTTGGCATGACCTGAGCACATCAGGTGTCACCATTCAGCTCCATGTGCACAAGACGGAACCCTAGGTTGTGCAGCTCATCGCAGCCCCAGAGAAAGGACTTTATGTTCCCAAGTGCAGCTCAACTCCTAAAGCTTGTCCAATCCCAGCTCACCAGAATGCCCATTTCCAAAAGGCATCTTGTACCAAGTAGTTCCTGCACAAGTGATCTTGATTATCAAAGTCACCCAGAGCCCTCTTCAAGAAACGTTAAAACGCTTGGCTTTGTTCCAGGGGATGGGAAGGAGGATTAATATTAGTTTCAAGTGCTGAACAAGAAAACCAGATACATTCCATCTCTGGTCCAAATCACAATGTCAAAACGTTACAGGCATGCATTGGGAGTATTCAAGTGAAACAAAAGGACTTGGGGTCAAAGAGAAGAAGGAAAGAAAAAAACAAAACAAAAAAGGTAGTTACATACACATTCTCAAGCAAAACCAAGATAGAATAAAGGAAGGTTTAAACCAAAGAAGGAGGTTATTAGGTTTCTTTCACCAGTTAGGTCTGCATTTCTTTTTTATATTGCAATCAAACAGTCAGACTCCCCGCAGTTACGCTGCCAAGATAAATCCTCAGTATGAATTACTTTAAAGAAACAAACAAATAACAATTTTGGTCTCATTTCTTCCAGTTTCCTTGTCAAAAATGTCTTTATACGAAGAAAATGGATAAAGACACCACATGCCCGAGTGCCTTCCAATACCCCATATCAATCACTACAGGCTTCGATTGTGTCTGAAGAAACGGAGTCCACACCATCCTCTTCTACTTTCCTTTCTTCTGAGAAGTTAAGCACACAGTATGGAAGACTACACTAAAATAAGAGGTTTTCATCGATAAAAGTGCCTTTCTGCAGAGTTGCATACCTTATGGAAAAAGATACTTTGATGACATTTGGTAGTCCGGAACACTACAGTGACACAAGTGCTGTGCCCAAGAAGAAAACTACTGCATGGAAGGATTCTGCACAAAGTTTGACCTACACCACAGTTTATTTGTAAACATTTGTTACATGTGCCAATAATGTAACTGAACACAGACTTTGCACAATTCAATGTATAATATTAACAATGTCACACCAGAAGAGTGCAACTTTACTCACTTACAGTCGTACTTTAAAACCTCCAAAATACAAACCATTTGGAATACTGAACAAGAAAAAAGAAAATTTGAGAACAATGAGGGAAAAGAAAAAAAAAGAAATGAAAAAATAAGTCATGATGAAAAACCTGGAAATAAAACATAACACAGTTTCTAGTTGGCTCCTGAACATCTTCAGGTACAGCCATCTAGACTAAACACTATTTGGGTTGTGTCGGAGCACAAAGCCAACCTCTCTCTTCTGCAAGTTAAAAATCTTGCAGAAGAGATAAACTCAAACGAGTGTTGCAATGTGTAATGCATGTGATTTTCCCCACTGTCAATGAAACTACCTGAAGAAAAGAAATTGATTTAATTTGTCTTTATTTGCAATACAATATAAAATAGATTCTTTTGGTACGAGATCTTTGAGATCTTATTTTTTACAACATACTTAAAACAAAAGTCACATACTTTGAGAAAAGTCTCTGGACCATCTCAAGCACTGGAGCTGTAGTCGAGTTTCAGGTATTTTATGGACTTCTTTGGTTGCAAAGTAAACTTCAGATACGCAGACTTGAACATTTAAGCTCCTAAACTAGTGTTGAAGCACTTTAATTAGAGTGGCTTGTGTTATAAAAAAAATGCAACGTATCTGGAATTCTCACCATTAACTGTAAGATTTATGGATATTAAATGACTCTGAAGAGCAGGCTACTTTGATTTAGAAACTTTAGACAACCAAGTAACAAAGGGTATTTATTCTTCACTTAATAACACTGAAGAATATACATTGAGAATAAGAAATTTTCATCCATTTTCACACTTCTATACAACTTCTATACAACTTGCACTATCATCATTTTACATACTAGTAGAGACAGTGCATGGCAAAATTTGATACAATACGCCAGACTAGCTCATCTACTGCAGCTCACTGTAGCACTTAAAGTAACATCAATAGTACTGAAAGTGTAAGCCATCACCTACTGCTTAGTTCCTCTACAGTGCTATTTATCTATTAGTCTTCACATAACAATTCTCACAGTAAACGTCTCCTCTGGCATTTCTAGCAGATTGACATCTAATTCCTCTTTCATTTCCTTTAAAGGAAGTAAGGCAACTTAAAAAAAAAAAACAAAAAACTCAATGGTGAGTACACATGTCCAGCACAAAATTCACTGTAGTGTTAAGTGATCAAGTTTGTATAGTTAATAAAATTCTAACATATGCAGAATACTAGGTTCAGCTGCTGTTGATAAAACACAAAATCAAGACAGATGTAAGAAAGCAGCACTGGGCAAACTGAAATACTACAGACTTCCAGTTTCTTAGACCACAAGTCCTACACTTCGACTTCAGGAGCGTAAATAAAGCAAAGGGGGAGAAAAAAAAACCCAAAACAACAACAGCACGGAATTTTCACAGTTGTAACTGAATCCTATCGTGGTATGTTTGTCCTTCTCAAACTTTTGCCACATTTTTTCTTACAGCTTTACAGAACGGGAAACAAATCCTGCTGCCTTTTTTTCTCCTTGCTGTTATCCAGCATCAGCTACACCACAGATTATTGGTCCATTGCATATTGCAGGCTAGTAAAGACAGGATGGTTAAGTCGCATTTTTAATTATGACTATTTAAAACAAGGGAGTTGCAGTAAAGAAGTGAGTTGGCAGAGTAGTTTGGACAGCTGGGTCTTAACATTTTACATTTCTTGTTCTCATGTGCTAAACAGCATAGATTTTTTTTTAAGCTGTCAAAAGAAGTTGTTGACACCTAATATAAACAAAGCAAAATCATGCTATGGAAAATCATCCCCTACAAATAAAGGCAGAACATGATTTTAGATGAAAGAGCTCACTGCTAATGTTTGACATAATCAGCAGCTAATGCCTCAAAGAACACTCAGAGAAGCCTCTGCCTACATATCCTCTGCTCTTCTCTTCCTTCGCTAATGACTGTCTTGTTTCTTCACAAGAGCTTTGCTCTTTCTATCGCTAATTGACAGGACAAATGTAGTTATCTAACTTAAACTCAACTGATGCCATCAGGAGTTTTCCCACAGCAATCACCACCAGCCTCAAATAACAAGGAGGGACTAACTCCTGGCGTGAGCAAATTTCAGACACTCCTGGTTTCCTACAAAGAGCAAGTTGAATCCCTCACAGCGAAGAACTCCACGAACAGAGCCGACCATTTGGGCCCTTCTGTAATTCCATATTCCCATCAAATTCTGCCAGAGGTGAAAGTGCATCACTCGTCTTCAAAGTGGCCTGAAGTCATCAGCAGGCCTTCAAGACCACACTAACTCAGCCTCCTATAAACATCAAATCTCTTTCCACTGTACTGATTTGTCAAGACCCCACTGTCAATCTGAACTACAGAATTTGACAATTCTTAATGCCCCATATCACCATGGGGTTTTTTTAAATTGTATCACTGAGCTTTCAGAGGAAGAGCCAAATCTCTTGCCTTTATACAGAAAGATTTTCAGTAATACAGTACAAAACTAAACAGAATTTATGTCTGAGTAACTAACATAGAAAACTACTATTGCAATTTTGTGGTGACAGCATAAAAATTTAACAATCATCAGAAAGCCTAGAAAGAGCATGTTTAGTTATAAAAGAAAGATTGTCTCCAGACAAAAATAGTGCTGACAGCTAAAAAGCTCTCTGTTGCAGCAAGGTGTGCAGTAATGAGTAACAAGTTCTAGACGGTTTAAGCACTTCCCCAATACTGCATCACAACACAGTTTTGTAACACAACTTTTGCACGGGTCATGCTGCAGCAGCAGTACGCTTCTTAGTGGTTGGCACTGGGAATTAATCATAATAGAAGAAAGGCATTTAGTGATCAAATGCATGAGAATCCCTATTTGACCTGTTCCTTAGGCGTGGTTGAAAAGAACTGAGGAAGGTGACCACCCATTCCATTCCGACAAGACGCCTTCTTTGAACATGAGATTCTTGGCAGGAAGAGGAACGCCCATATCTGCCGAAATAGGCTGCAAAAGCGAACTTGAAGAACCAGCATCATGGAGCTGATCCAGTGTCGAAATACCTTCCTGAAAGCAAAAGGAAGGGAAAAAAAAAAAATAGCGTGTTAAAAAACACAAACAATAAAGGATTTAACTGGTAGAATATGACAGGCTAATCTCATCTGCAAATACACTTAGTCGTTCTGAAATGTGCTATTTTAATCTGATAAATACCAAACCATTACAGAACTAAAATCAGACTAAACAAAGAGAAGCATGACATAAGCACAAAGTTGCTTCAGCTGCATCTCCACATACATTTTTTGGCTTCCAGAAACCTTCAGGGAAGCCTGAGGCTTAAAATTGAAGGAAAGACCTAGCAAAATTTATGTAAAGCTAGAAAATCTTCAGGATAACAATTGCACTGCTATTTATCCCATACTGTGCTAAGAGGTAAATGTATATTTGGAGGAAATGACTGAACCATATTTTGAGTAGTTTTATTGCCCAGAAGTTTGGAGGGGGGCTTTCATCTTAAAAAAAAAAAAAAAAAAAAAAAAGAAATCACTTCAGCACCTTTCCCCTCCCCCACCTCTGTGATCATCATCAAGAAAAGTGTTTTTTACAGATAATATCTAAGAGATTAGGACAGGAATCACTTAAGACTGACAGATAGCTTCAAGGCTTCAAATCTACTGAGAATCTCCCAATATTCTCACAAGGAGGGAGTTACAGGATTACACTATCCATAAAACTACCTAGTTAAGTAACCCGCAAGCTCCTCACCTTACTCAAACGATAGTTTTAGAAAAATGTATCTTAAAATAAGCAGCTATGCAGATTCTATGTTACACATGGACATGCCTTGCTAGCATACACTTCCATGTCGCAGGCTGCAAACCTGGCACTCCTTGCCTGCTACACAAGACCCCTATTCTCTATCTATGCTCTTAAAATCCTCCCAGAGTATGCAGTTTTATATATTTATACTCATTCAACATCATGTTCTAGAGGATCTTAAGACAAGTGTATAAAGTAACTGTTACGAGATACATGTTAATGTATTTTTTTTTTCTTAATGGAACACAGTTGTCTTCAGATGCAGATAAAATCTCAAAAGATTAGCAAATCCATGGTTTGCATAAATGTTCCTAAAATACCTAAGAAGCAATCAAGTAACCAGCAGAGTAGGCTGTGTTACAACAAGAGGAATGAAGAACAATTTTGCTGTACAAGTCCCATTAAAAAATAATTACACTCAAGGTGTCTCATAACCTCTGTGGTTCTAAGTACTAAATAAGGCTAGAAAAAGGATCAGGAAATACTCACTCTTTGCTACTAGTAGAATTTGAGGTTGATAGTGCTCTTAATACAACTACCATTTAAAGAAAAAGCAAATAAACCAAGCCATGGATGTTTCCACATATGCAAGAATGGCAAGTAGGAGGGCAAAAAGGGATGACAAACCATACCAGATGACTTACTTGTGGATTATTGCTCCTTACCTGGAATGAATGAACGAAATTAAGGACCTGAAGAGACAGTTTTCTACTGGAATGTAAGAGCTTTTGAAGGCTGTCAAAAACAAAAGAAAAGAAGCTATGTCTAGGGTTTGCAAGCTTTTAGCTAATAAAGTACCACCATAACACCTTGCTCACAAGTAACTCCAGTAGTTTCTAACACATGCCAAGGTTAAAAGCTTTCTCACAGAAAGCTTGATAATATTGTTGTCAATGAGAGGTGCTCAACTCATCTGCTTGACTGTAGTTAGTTGTTACTTTCCTTTTCATTTACATCACACTGAAGTGAAACTATTGCAATTGAAAAAATGCTATTGTCCATAAAATATTGACATATTAGAGTTTAGCATGTTGCACTCTTATCTATCTTATCGAATCTGAATCTTAGAACAACTAGGGACTACTAGATTGCACATTATGCTGGTGTCTACGAGGCAAAAAGGAATCACCTTAAACACTGGAATTAGGTACTCTGTGAAACTTAGCTTAGTTCTGTTCTGTTATAGCTATCCAGTTGTAGGTGACATATTTTGCAGAGGCTCCTAACATAGCACATACAACCTGTTCAACCTGTAGCTGATAAATCACAGCTTACCTTTCTTTTCTACATAATCCATGAGTGGCAATTTTTCTGCAGACCTTCTGATTCAAGTCAGAGCTGAAGAGTGGAATGCCAAAGCATAATTCCAGGGGAATCCATTCCAGTTCTGTTGTGGGTGCTACAGAAAGAAAACCAAGAGACAATCAAGTTTTAAGAAAAGGCAAAGCAGCACATATTGATCTCTGACCCAGTTCTCAGATCAGGACCCACTAGACTGTTCACCTACCGAACTGCTCATAGATTTAAGGGATCTGAATTTTGAGGAGGAAGAACAGTCAGCATTGTACTTGCCTCAAACTATAATCAAAGAATGTGTTCAGATCCTTAAAAACAAGATATCTCAATGGACTGAAAATATTTAGAACAGGCCGTTTGTCATGGGTTTACCTTCAAGGCTCTGCTTGACTGCAGAATCCATTGAGGTTTCTTCTATTACCATCTCAAATGATTCTGTGCTCCCATTTACATCAGATCCTGATGCCAGTTCAGCCTCTCCTAAAGGTAAAGGAATTATTACATAAACAAGTAGATGAATATATGCTTAGTTACCACCTGATGTAAAGAACATGACACAAGGAAGGGCTAGGAAGAAACACAGCGCCCCACTCACTTTAGGACCAGAGATTCATTTAGTGATCCTCAACACACTTATGAAAGATCAAGTTCCGGCATATAAAAGTGACACAATTTACCTTTAATATTTTGAAATTATTCTTTTTTTTTTTTCTGTTGACTGTTCTAAACCAATAATTTTTAGCCTGTATTTGCTATTTCTGATCTAGTCAGAAAGAAGAATTAGGATGTAAGCCTATTGCAAATAGACTTACACTCAAAATGGGTTCTGTGTGTAATATTTTATGAAGTTACAACTTAAAGATTTTCATCCTTTTCTCTCCTGTGTTAAAGTGTTATGTGTAAAATTAAGGGAACACAGCCAAAAAAAGACAATTATTGGTAACCATATGGGGACTGACCTGCTGGAGAACAGCGTAGG